CCTATGTGAGAGTTTTAATTTTTATTTTCACTAATACAAAACTAATCAACGATTAATTTTTGGAAACATATTATTGGCAACACACTACGAAAAAGACATGTAAATTTCAGTGCCCTGAGACCGACACATGAAAGCGGCCTTTTTAACATAACAATCAGTTGAAAAGGACGGGAAAATCAATTCAATCAAACGCACTTTTCTTCGAGTTGCCTATGTTTCAGTTTCAGGACACTTAATTTTACATGCCATGTTTGTTTACGTTCCATGATTTACGTCAAAGCTGAATTACGTCTCGTGTAAAAATAAGAATTTCTAAGTGTGAAGGTTATGATTGATGTCACTGAAGCGGGGGCCCCCTCCAAATTGGCGGCCTTGGTTTTAGCCCACCATCGTCCTACCGTTAGTACGGCACTACTTCAAAGGGCCTAAGCTCAATCCCTGTCGGCGCCGCACAGTGGGGCCGTTCTGAAAAAAGACGGTCAAAAGTCTTTTCTCATCATTTTTGACGTTTTCGAGGGTAGGTTTCTTCAGAGAAGTTGCTGAGAATGGCGATCCGGTCCTATTGAAACAAACACCGGGTTTAATATTAAGAGGGTATTACACTTAGAAAAACTAACTTTTTATACAAACGAGATAGACATATGACGTCTTGAGCAAAGTTGTAGATCTAATCATTCCATGAAATTTATCCGAAGACACCAAATTTCTATATCTTCAAACTAATGAGATATAATGATTTTTCTTTCAGGAGTACCTTAAAAGTTAAAAAAAGTTAAATCACATTTTAATCAAGTTTGACCGGTTCACTATATTCGAGAAAGTTTTAGATATCATCAAAATATATAACTTTTCTGAAGACGTCAACAACATTTATTGACTCTTGTTTGCTGTACTGTGATTTTGAAGGAAAAAATCATCAATTTTAGAAAATAAATTAAAAAAATGTGAATGTTTGTGAAATGACACTAAGCGTCATTGAGTTTTTTATAACTTTGAGCATACGTGTAGAAAAAATTAGCTTCGGGAACCCTCGGGAACAAAATTTATACAGCTATTTGATACAGCAGTTTTTACCATATAGTCTACATTATTCTCATATAGTTCTTTATGCAAATAGCTCCAATCATTAATACATGCACCGTAGGTTATTCAATGAAATGAAGGCACGTGCTGATGGATCGGAGGATGCGGCTAAGTTGGTTCATGAAGCATTGCAAACAACTCCCACTAGAGCAGTATTGGAAGTCACACAATGATTTCAAATGTGAGCGATCTATGACTGAAGATGAAGGTTTGTCTTTATTTAATGATGGGGACTTCTCTAAGGACCAATGGACCTTATTACGCAATACAACAAGGCAATGCAATGTGGCACAGATTTACCCGTCATATAAAAGATTGATTCAAGCTCGTGAAAGATGTCTCCCAGAGAATATAACGGTATCAGAAATATCTGCTGAAACTCAGCTTCAATCTTTGATGGACCATACTGTCAAACGCATCTTTTTGCTAGATATTCCGGTAACCAGTGAAGACCTGGAACTTCTGTCCAAATGGGGTTTCGATGGATCATCTGATCATTCTAACTATAAGCAAACATTTTCAAGTGATGATTCTGATGACAGCTCTATTTTTATAACCTCTATGGTCCCACTTCAATTGTGAGTTCGCAATAATCCGGGTAAAATTCTTTGGATGAATCAAAGACCAAAGACCAGATTATGTCGGCCAATGCGAATGTAATTCGTCAAGGAGACGGCTGCACTTTCCTTGGAAGAAAAAGAAAATTTTGATGACCAAAGACTTCAAGCGGCGCATCGGATTGCTCATTGATATACCGAAGCATGGCTCAGGCTCTTCCAATGACGGGAACACTGCTCGTCGTTTTTTGAGAACCCAACTTTGACTTCGGAAATTACTGGATTGAAAAAGTAACTAGTAGAGAAATTCGCAGTAATTCTAAGTGTTCTGGCATGTGGCCAACCAATCAAAATAGATGCATTCAGAGACTTCTGCCACGAAACTGCACAGTGCTACGTAGAGTATTACGGATGGTACTATATACCGTCATCTGTACACCGCGTCCTAATTCATGGCGCAGATCAGTGGCGTCGCCCTAACCTCAATCTACCTGTTCAACAACTTTCAAAACGTGAACTAACAAAACAATATTGGTTCAAATTGATACAAATCAGTGAAACTAAAAGACCCTGTGCTCTTTGAAACCGATTGGAACGTTAACATGACCCTAAATAACGTTTTCAAAGTTGTTGAACAGGTAAAACGTGAGGTTACGCGACGCCACTGGCGCAGATATAATAGCAGCTGCCATGGTTCCAATCGGATGCCTGTCGGAAGAACCACAGGAGTGCAGGAACAAGGACCTGAAAAGATTTCGCAAAAATCGTTCAAGAAAATGTTCAAGGTACGCAGTACTTTTAAGCTTCAGTTTGGAGTAATTATCTTTTATATCTTTTAATATTTAAATACATACAGAGACGCCACCAATCATGATGTTTATATAAGGCTGTTGATGACCTCAGATCCATTCATAGCAAGTTTGCGACAACAGCGAAAAAAGAAAGTTCAGTTGTTGACACCAACTGCAATGCAGTTATTACAAGCGCAAGACGAGAGCTCTGATTGCGAGTCAGAATCAGAAACTGAATAAACAAATGTGTGGCTTTTAGTGTATTAAGAATATCCGTTAAATAAAAAATTTGTGTCTTCAATTTCTTTCAAAATCTTCAGTTTTCAAAGGCCATCCTCATCAATAAAAATTGAATAACCTACGGTGCATGTATTAATGATTGGATCTATTTACACAAAGAACTATATGAGAATAATGTAGAATATATGGTAAAAACTGCTTTATCAAATAGCTGTATAAATTTTGTTCCCGAGGGTTCCCGAAGCTAATTTTTTCTACACGTATGCTCAAAGTTATAACAGACTCAATGACGCTTAGTGTCATTTCACAAACATTCACATTTTTTTAAATTTATTTACTAAAATTGATGATTTTTTCCTTCAAAATCACAGTACAGCAAACAAGAGTCAATAAATGTTGTTGGGGGCGACCCCGGCGTAGTGGTTAACATCCATACCTCTCACGCCAAAGTCACGAGCTCAAATCTTACCCCCGGACAAGTCACGAATGGCCCAAGAGTGTTAAAGTGAAGTGTTAAAAAAAATGTTGTTGACGTCTTCAGAAAAGTTATGTATTTTGATGATATCTAAAACTTTCTCGAATATAGTTAACCGGTCAAACTTGATTAAAATATGATTTAACATAAAAAACCACTTTTAAGGTACTCCTGAAAGAAAAATCATTATATCTCATTAGTTTGAAGATATAGAAATTTGGTGTCTTCGGTAAAGTTTCATGAAATGATTAGATCTACAACTTTGCTCAAGACGTCATATGTCTATCCCGTTTTTAGAAAAAGTTAGTTAGTTTTCAGAACGGCCCCACTGTGCGCCGTCGGGATTTTCTGAGGCATAAAATCTCTTATGAGGAAAGTAAAGCCGTTGGTGCCCGGTTCATGAGTTGATGGGTCGATAGGTAGGATCCAGGTGTAGGAGCTACCTTCCTAGCGTCGGTAGCATAGATACTCAGTACGGAAGACAAGATCGACGGAAAACAAATCAAGAAAAAAAAATATTGGCTCATCTTCTAATATGGGATGACTGTAATCGTTCGAAAAATGATCGTGAAGATAGTTTTTTTTAAATATATCATGCGACCGAATTATCGCAATGCTATCAGCTTTACAAATTCTCGCTGCAGTGTTGCTACTAAAGATATTTTTTCCTAAAAATCACTTAGAACATCTATACGCGTTTTTTTAAATTTATTATAGAGATCGTTAGCCACAGGCTACGTCATCTCTTTATTTATACGTGGTTTGCAAAATATTAACCGGGAAGTTTTGGAATTTGCACTGGATACGGAAATTGCAAATACGGAAATTTCATTTGATAAAAATGATCTTAGATATTTTAGATAAGATAAGATTTTCAATATGTGAAGGGAGTTTAGTATGTAGAGGGAGGTTTTAGTCCAATAAGAAGTTTTCTTAGAATATCAAAATAACAATTTTTGAAAAGTTTGATTGTAATCGGTGATTTTGACCACAATTTTGTATAATGAGCTTGAATTTGTTATTGTAGTATCAGTTCTAAAAACTCCAAGATACCCAGAAAGCTAAAATAACCTTAAAACACTGAAATCACTTTGAAAAATAACATTGAATATGAAAATGCTTTGAAATTACCTAAACAAGTTTTATTGTTTTCAAAATAGCCAAAATTTCCTTTAAAATTCCGAAACCACCATGACCAAACTGGGTTTGAAATTGGTAACATGGCTTTGTAATCGGAAAATTAATCTAAAATAGTCCTGCAAAATCCACAATATCCTAAAAACGCTAAAATCCTCTTTAAATGATTAAAATAGCTTTCCAATTTACCTCAATTACATTGAATCACATTAAAGGTAAGGTCAACAAGGCCTTAAAACGCCATCGCCAAGATGTCATTGAAGAGCTTATAACTGTTTTTTTAATCTATTAGGATAAATTCTGGTCAACCATGAATAAAATCCTGAATACGGCTCTGAACCGTTGTTTGAAACTTTATGAAAATATATGTTGGACACACTCGATTTTAAAAATAGTTTAATATACTGGCATAACATTAGAATATAGCAAAACCCCCAAGATCCCGGTGGGTTATCAATCGCTAGTATTTGTCTGTTCCTTAATATCACGTTCAGACTACAGAACTCAGAACTATAACATATTATAATAATTATCGACTAGAAAAATGTATGTATGTCCAGCGTTTAAGCAACTGAACTGATTTTTTTTTGTGGGTGATTAACTGTACTCATATGTGGACATTTCACATTTTTAACCATTTTCAGTTCACCACTTCCAAATTCACGGATCTATTCCAACACCTCAGCTGCCAATTGTTTTGAACACTGTCTAATCCACCTCGGAGTGTATCCTCCCGGTAAAGCTATCCGCACGGCAGTTGAATCCTTGGGAAGTGAATTTCACAGTGGAAACCTCTTCGCTAATCTTCAAAGTGGGAAACTTCACCAATATCCTATTGAAACACCACCTTTGGACTGTCCTTATAGAAGAAGCCTCCGAGACTTGCAAACTTTGCGACCGATCCGTCCGACTTCCCGAGAACTACTGAACCCGGTGCGGGATGCTGTGTGCCTATATGCCATGCCACCACGGTTATTATCCTGACGAGTTGAAGTCCTTTTGAGCAACAAGCGTCATCATCATCATCATCGCCACATTCTACATAGAAGCAGTCGTCGTCGGTGTGGTTGTCGGCTGTCGTCATTGCGGCGCGGACATCATCCTTCGCTGGGTGGCATCCTTCAGTGTGCTCTGGCAAAAGACGGAGAGATAAGTGACTGATAAAGCTAAAGCCTAGAATGGCGAGTTGGAGGGGGTGGTGGAAGGTTGGCATTCCTGGGCGTTTATGCGTTGCCTCCTTCGAACCAACGAACGGAACGGACCGAAATCAGTTTGCACTTTTTACCAACATATGAAAGGGTATGGACGATATGATGGATCCGGTGTTGTGGGTAGTCAGTCGAACATAGAATTGGACATCAGATGATGCGTTCACATATGATTGTTCGGATGGTGGACAAAAAAACCGGATTGCACCGGGATCTGTTTGATAGCTGAAGAGAATTTTAATCGATGTATATGAAGTTTGCTGTAAGCCGTAACTAATGCAAAAAGTTGGTCTACCCGTTGTGAGTTGGTGCCCATAGGGTTATTTAAAATATTCTGAAAATATATGTGTACGAATGAGCTACGCAGCAAAAGCAGTTTTTTCGTTTAAAACCAAAATTTTGTTAATGAAAATGTGTTCACTGTGTTCCTGTAGGCAAGTAGAATGCAATGAACACATTTTCAGGAACGTACTATAGGTTTTCTACGAAAAAAACTGCTATTGATTCTCCAAAAAATAATTTCCGAACTGTATATTAGTCGTACATCAGCCTTATATTGCAAAAAGTTCAATTAGCGGACTTGTTGGTTACTTAGGTTGTTTGCAGAACAGATACCGCTGGAAAGCAGACGATCAAAAAGGTAAAGGATAAGTTCAAAATGTTGATGACATTCCCGCATTTTCAAACAGATGTTGAGCAATTCCACGCCAAATGACGAATGAATCTGATGTGACCTTCTCCGATTTGCATGAAACTTTGCATGATTGTTTATTATGGTCAATCTTTCACATTTGAGCTAAAATTTGGTCATTTTTAAATTCGCAAAAAATGGCTTATTCGAAAAATTTTAACAAATTGTAACTCTAAAATGTCACTTCCAAACAAATTTACATCTGAGACAAATCTAGAAAAAATACACTTGGTAAAAAATTTCAATTTGGAGAAAAAATCTAAAACAATTGTTAAAAGCTTTTGAAAAATGTTATAATTATTCTGTGACATTTTCAAGTTGGACACTTAAAAATTAACATAAATCGTAGAACAACAACTTTTGGACACATTTTTTAATTTTTTGTTTGGACTTTTTTTTTTTAATTTACGCTGAAAACCATTTTTTAGACTTTCCGTTTTCTGGTGAAAAATCAACAAATAATAATAAAATTATCAAAAGTTTAAACCTTTGACCAAGGGTTATTGTTGTATGATTTTTGTTGACTTTTAAGTGTCCAATTTGAAAATTTCACAGAAAATCTAATTTTGCATAAGCTTTTTAATGAAAAATATTAAAAATATTTAAGAGAGTAAATTTTTGTTATTTTTATGATTTTTTTTTACCCTAAGATACATTTAAAAATATTTTTTTTACCGTGCTTATTTTTCCTGAAAAGTAATTATTTTTTCCTACAACTTTGTCTCAGACGTAATAATTGAAAGTGACGTTATTGAGTTATGATAGGGGCAACTATCACCTTTCCGAAAGTGGTATTGGTTTGCGTGAGCGTACTTTGGTTCGCGTGTAAAGGGCCTTAGAAAGTTTGTTTACAAATGCTTTTGTGCCGTTATCAAATGTTATGCCTGATATGTTGAAAAATATCGAATACACCATTTTGAAGTTTCTTGCAGGAATCAAAATGGCCGAATTTTGGCTCAAATGATTGACCAAAACAAACAATTATTCAAAGTTTCATGCAAATTGGAGAAGGTCTGAAATTGTTTGTTTTTTTGTTATTTGGCCGGGGAATGCTTTTTTCCGGTTAAGGCTTGCATGACAGAAACGAAATTTAAGACTTAAAACAGAGGACAGAGGTTTCAATTTTTTTTATTGTTATCAATAAAACGCAGTTTCATGTCAATTTATTTAATTGTAATCGTTTTAAAAATAAGAAGGGTAAAAATATGAACGACAATCAAACATGGTTTGTTGTCGTTTGGAATCAAGGTAGGCGGAGATTGCTCCTATTTGGCAGCTACATCCCGCATTGCATAAAAATGGCAAGACACCAGAAAAATTATGTTATATCTGGCGTAAGCAACACAACATTAAAATTGCTTAAAAGATGTATGCAAGTTTGTTGTTTTGAACAATGTTTGACATTAATTTACAAGAACTATAATAATCTGGCGTTCATTCTAAACTCATTGGAAGTTGAAAAATCATTGGACGTAACAAGATATTCAACTATATAGGGGAAATGTCTCTAATGTTGGCCTATGGATCTAAGATTGGGCCCATCGCTAAAAATCTGCTATTTATCAATTTTATCTAGATGAACGCGTTATTGGGACGTTACTAATGGATATTTTTGGTTGCTATTGAAAATTTAGTCGATTGCTGAATTTATGTATGGGACCAAATTAGGGACACTTAGGCCGACATTACCTGCATTCCCCCTATATATGTATATATAATGTAATATATGTATATACATGTATATAGCCGCTGACTTGGTCCTGCTTGCGGATCAGGGCGTGACCACAATGAGGAATGCGATACAATGAGGAATGAGGAAAAGCAATGTATGTAAACCCCCTCCCCCTTCACAACAACCTCTCTCTCCCCCCCCCCCCTCAACAATAACCCTAAAAAGACAAAGACTTTGACGATCACTTTTTTTTCCGGGAAATAAATTTTAAACAAACCACAATTATTAGTAAAAACAGTAGTTTTTCCCTTAATTTCTTCCCGCACCAAAACTTTCGAATTTGAGAAAAAAATTGCTTGAAAGACATATTCGATGATATTAAGTTGGTGAATTACACTCAACTGACGGTAAAACATATCTGGTACTCCTATATATCAGTGCCAACATTTCAAAGGGGCGTAATTGCTTTTGTAAACAATGGCTTTAGCCGTCAATTTCTCGCGAATGAAATCTCACCCCTCCAAAATAACAATGCTAGCTGGTAGAGGAAACATTCATCTACATCCAAAGTCCAGAGGAAACATTTATCTACCTGTTGGTGTCATTATTTTTCATGAGTGAGCTTTAATTCGCGAGAAATCGACGGCTAAAGCCATTGTTTAAAAATGCAATTACGCCCCTTTGAAATGTTGGCACTGAATATTAACATCCAAAAGTCCATCCTTTTTTCCATATTCTGCACAAAAGAAACGTTCTGCCCCGCTGCCTGCCCATAAATGAGAAATTGGCTAATGTGCCTGAAGCAGAAAAAATGGAGAAAAATGCAATTTTAACATTTTTGTTGGTTGAATAAGTTTTACTAGATAAAATTGTCTTTTAAAATATACATAACAGTATTTGCCTATGCCGGAAACATGCCGTTGAATAAAAACAACGAAACTAATAGCCATTTTCTATAAAGGCTGATTTTTAATCATAGTAGCCATTTTTTCAATTACAATCTCAGGGAAATTCGCCAAACGGTCATTTGTTTTGGCTAACGTGCATACGTTCTCGTTTATTGTGGTGTGAATTCCAGCTAGATATGGCTTTAAATTATCAACAACAATACGGAACCACTAGTGAAAGTGAGCAGGAGCCAGATGACAGTATTCCGCGTCGTAAACCCACAAAGCGAGAAGCAGTAGCTCTGGAGACTAAAACGATTAAGCGAATAAAACACACAGTGGTGCCTGGAAATTGTGCAGCATGTCCTCTGGATTGTGAATCTAAAATAGATAGAGAAATGCGGCTACGCATCAATGAGTCGTATTGGAACAAGACGCCTGCCGATCAAAAAGGTTTTATCCGGGAAAACGTTCTGCAGATCGAAGTTAAACGTAGACGCATACGTGCCGTTGTGCATCGGAAATGTTTTACATATAAATATCATTTGAAAGATTCCTTTTTCAGTTCGCAGAACGTTTGTGCAACATTTTTTCTGAACACAATTGGGTATGAAAAATCTTGCAGGTATGAATTCTGTTCTTAATAGGCGTAGTATTTGTTTGTAGTACATCAATTGTAAATTTCAGTAATACTATCTCTCGCGCGTTCAAGAAAGAAGCATCGCGTGACTGGAATATTGATAAGAGGGGTATGCTTCAAAAATTAAAGAGCAGAGATCTGAAAAAGATGGTCACGGAAGACATACTATTACATAATCCTACGATATCTCACTATCGACGGATCCATGCTCCAAATGTTAAATACTTGCCTTCGGACCTTTCAGCCAGACGCTTGTTTGATGCATATATTGCAAAGCAGACCGATGAAAATCGAAGTGTTCATACCAATATTACTGCGGGTATGTTTTCTTGTATAAATCTGTGGACATTTAAAAAATTATATTTTTTACTACAGCATACTTCGAGCTATGAACATCAAATTCACCAAGCTTGGACTAGAAGAATGCGAAGTATGTGAAATTCACCATCAGCATGTAGCTGAGGCTGGCCTTAATCATGATTCACCAACAAACGAACCAGCCATTGATCTTTGTGAAGCCTGCAAAATGTGGCACGATCATAATCTACGGGCACGCACATCTCGCGAAGAATATCAAAAGGATAAAACCAATAAGAAAGCAATAATTATGTCCGTTGATCTGCAAAAGGTATTTTTTTGCATTCAATAACAACACATGAATATTTATTGAGTATTGATGCTTATTACAGGTGGTTCAAATACCAAGGATGGACTCTTATAAAACCGTCATATTCACGAAGCGAATAAACATTTTGCACCAAACGTTTGCTCCAGTTGGAGGAGCAAAGCATGGTGTAGTTTATGGTTTCGTTTGGGATGAATCCAT